GAGGCTCCAGGGAGTGGACGTAGGTCAAGTTGACAGAACCACTATAAAATCTTGTGAGCTCTTTCTTATTGTTTTTCGCATTTAATTTACGCACTTTAATTTTTTGTGGTGAATGTTAATTTGGTTTAAGATCATGAATTATGTTTGAAAAAAAATTTAAAACACCAATTAATCGCTCTCTTGGTTAGCCTCGGGATAATTCATAAGGGCTTAACATTCCTAACGAACTTTTAGAAACATCTCAGTTGTTGGCTAAGTGGCTAGTATGGGAGGAGTACTAGTACAAGACATCGTACTACTATGCCTCCAAGATGACTCCTTTCAAAATGTTATACGGACGAGACCCGCCATAAAACGTGCATTTTGGATAGATTAGCACACCAATCTCTTTAGTTGAGCGGTGCTTGGAGGAAATGGATAGAGTGAACCATTGGATTGAGGCTTACTTGATATGGAGGGGTATGAAAAGAGTTAGATAAAATTCATTTTGTATTAAAGTTAAATTTTAAAAAATATTGAATATATGGCTTTTTCCTTTTATTTACCACTCGTTAAACTAACGTCGACCCGATCACATATATTTTTAAAGATAAGGCAAACCATGTATGACTAAGAGAAATAAATCCCAAAGCCGACAACGAATCAAGGTAAGAATGTACGGCTTAACCATTCACCAGACACAACGACGCAACGTGCATAAAGAGTGTATCGACCTAGGAAATATGTAATAAGGCTATGTGAGTGATTGATTTCAAAAATGAGGTCAATACGGCACAATCGTCCGCATCCTACGGGTGCCTCATTTTTGTAGGTGCCTCACTTTCACATATGTCGATTTCTCTGCTAACTAGTGCGGCACAGTCATCTGCTTTACAAGTGCGTCACAGTCATCTGCATTGCAAGTGCGTCACTTCCATAGGTGAATGTTGACGATTATTTGGGTGCACAAACTACTTTGTGGAGCCTGTATTTTACTTGATTCTTTGGACATCTTATCTAGCTCTATTTTGGCCAAGAAAGTCAGTTACGATTAGGAATTGCTTGGTAATTGATCAGGTCAAGTTTTTAATTAACTTGTGTAATGGATATCAATTCTATTTAAGTTTATGAAATTATATTGAATTTTTTAAGTTTATGAAATTATATTGAATTTTTTAAGTTTATGAAATTATATTGAATTTATGTGTAGAGAGGTAAAATTCATTTTATAAGAGATTTCATACATTTTTTTATTCTTAAAGTAATAAATTTTTTTAAAAAAAAATTTCTGAGCTTTGGATAAGCACGACTGTACTAGAAGAATTTAGAGCATGGTTTCTTTTTGCATGCAAAATCAATAGTGACTCACATGTTGCTCTTGTCTAGTGTGAGTAACGGAAGGTTAGGTTATAATATTAAGAATGAATTCTTCCTTTTTCAGTTTAGCAAAATTTAGGATTATTATCTTGAGTATTAGGGAGTAATTCAGAATCTACAATTTATATGCTTACAACTAAAGACCAAGACTTATGCGGGAGAAAAGATTTTTATGACATTGTCTTCTTTGATGCATGTAAAAAAGGCATTCTATCAGGATGTAAGCCAATTATTGGTGTTGATGGATGTTTTCTGAAAGGGCAACAAAGTGGCCCACTGTTAACAGCCGTAGGGCTTGATGCTAACAATAGCATATTTCCTATTGCATGGGCGGTAGTTGAGATAGAAAGTGGTAGTTGGGAATGATTTCTGAGTTTTTTAGGAAAAGACTTGCACATTTTGGTGAATCGGCAACAGTATACCTTCATTTCAGATAAGCAAAAAGGATTAGTACTTGCTTTCGAGAATATTTTACCTTATGTTACCAATAGACTCTGTATAAGGCATTTGCATAAAAATTTCAAATTGGTTGGCTTCACTAGCATGACTCTGAAGAACACCTTATATGCAGTAGCAAAGGCAAACATCCTTAACCAATTCAAGTTCAGGATTCAGAGTTGGAGAACTTAAATGTGGCATCATTTAAATGGTTACATGAGAAGCCTCCATCTGAGTAGTCCAGGTCTCATTTCAATTTTATACATAAATGTGACACTTTGCTAAACAATATATGTGAATGTCCTAACTCCTACATTCTTGATGCTAGAGAATTATCCATTATGTCTATGCTTGAAAGTATTAGAGCTATAGTTATATCACAAATGTTGGAGAACAAGGAGAAGGCATTAAATTGGAATGGAAAGCTATGTCTATAATTAAGGAAATTGTGGGAAAAGATATGCATAAAGCGGGTTCTTGCATAGTTTATAAATCAGATGATAACAACTAATGCATGGAAGTCAATATAAGGTGAACTTGAACTTAAAATCTTGTTCATGTTGGATGTCGGAGTTAAGTGGAATTTCATGTGAAGATGCTTACACTGCAATTCATATGATGATGGGAGACTGAGGATTTTATTCATCCCAACTACACAACAGAGACTTATATGATAAGGTATGAGTGTAATATAAAGCCTTTGAATGGTGTTAATGAATGGCCAATGAGTAATAGGGTACCACCATTGCCACCAAAATATAATTAAGCAAAGAGAGGAAGTCCATCGAAGTTGTGAATCAGAACTATCGATGAGGAAGCTTTACATTCACTCTCCCAAAAAGATAGGAGGGAGATCAAATGTTAATCTTCATTGTCATAAATATAGAAAAGTGGACACAACAACATAACATGTGATAAGAGAATGAATAGTGAAGATGGACATGGCGAAGTCCAGGAGGTTGTCCAATCATTGATTGTCATGGTGAGCCATATCATCCCTTCAATTTTATTTACATTGACAATGATTTTTATTTAAAAATGTTTTTTTTTTTTTAATAGCCCTCGGAGTTGTTGGTGTGTTGACATCAAACTAAACCTACTTTGGAAGTTCTCACTCAAGGATCTTCAAATACAATACTTTTAGTATGTTGATTTTACTTTTTATTGCTATAATTGACTTTTTCTTTTGCTATGTCAATCTAATCAAATCTTTTTTTTTCTGTATGTTTACACCTCTAAAAGGAAAAAAATCTCATTAAAGGACCATTTGAAGCACATGACATATCCAAATTTTATTGATGATTCATTGCATGCTTTTTTTGCTTTCAATGGGGGACAAACAAGCTTTAATGAAATGTATTTTTGATTTTATTTAGTGATATCTTATATGGGAAATGGACATAATTTACAGCATTATCTTTGGCTCCAAACTTTTTTATATGGAGGATGAACAAACTTATGTATTTTAATTGAACTATATTAAATGAAATGTATTTTTTATTTTTGTTTAGCAATTTTTTGTTTGTTTATTTAAACTACAATGTATGTATTGAAACAATGGCAAAAAAAATTTAATTTCATGTAATTGTTAAGCTTTTCATGCATTTGTAGAACTAGTAAAGAAATGACAAATTTGATTGTTTGCTACGTACATAAATATTTTAAAAATAGTGAAATTAGTAAAATTAAAATTCTTTATAATTTTATTTAAAAGAAAGTTTAACATTTTTTTTCAAAAATTATAATAACTACTCAATCTCATGTATTAAATATTTTAATTAAAAAAGACTAAATTACCCTCACACTTAACACTATTAACTTTTTCATTACATGATAGGACCAAATAAGTAACAATTTAAATAATTGAGGGACCAATTTAATCCCTTAAAAAGAGTAAGGGCCAATTTAAACTCTCACATAAGAACAATTATTACGTCCTCTGACCGGACGTAGAGCTACGTTCGGCCGCCAATAACATATCACCACGTGCTCTTACTCTCTACCGCGCGGCCCGACAACTTGACCCGGATCGGAACCCGAGAATGTTATGTTCACGTATTGCGAGATATTACTCGGTATTGCTCGGTATTGCATGGCAATAACGAGAAATACCGCTCTGTGAAGACCAATACCGAGCAAATACCGAGTAATACCGAGTTTTACCGATTTTTTCTAGAAAAAACTCGGTACAACTCGATATTACTCGGTATTTGCTTGGTATTGACTATTGCAAAGCAAAATCGACCAATACCTAGCAACACCTAGTAATACCGAGCAATACCTAGTAAAATTGAGAAACTGAGCCATCCTGAGTCCGTTCCAGGTCGGATTGTCGGGGCGCACGATAAATAGTGAAAACGCATGAAGCGATTCTACTAGCAGCTAAACATAGAGCTACATCCTGTGACCGAACCAAATAAAAGTTCCTCACATAGAGATGAGGAATTGAGCTTGAACATTGTAATGATTCTCTCTCAATATTTAATAGAATAAAAACAATAAAATTTTAAGATACAAAACATATTTTATTTAGTATCATAACATAAACAATATTAAATTAAATTAAAAAATAATAAAAACAAACATGATCTGAAAAACCCATGTTAATTCTCCACCTGAATAATTTAAATTCTTGAAACCAAACAGCAAAACTACTAAAACAACAAAGCAAAACTTAATCACAAACACCAAAGCTAATTTGCTTGCATTCTCACTACACAGTTCAAGTCTTTTGCACTAAGCTTCAATTTCTATGGCTGAAATCTTGGTTGCCATGTCAAGTATGTATTATTAGGCTTGATAATTTGATCAAACTGGAAGCAATTCAATTGTGATCCTAATAGCCAAGAACTTAAGGGGCAAAAAATGGCCAGCTTCCATCATTATTAGCTCGCAGTAACTATTAAAAACAATGACACTAAAGCAAATTCCTGTTAATAAACAGCACAATTATTTAAATAATAATAATATAGACTTGATGCCATACAGGAAGTTAGAAATTATTAGGTGCGGAGTGCAAACATAGAGTTACGTCCGGACTCCAATATATAATATATAAATTTGTACATACTATATACATAATTTTGTAATTTATATATAATATACACTATATACAAAAACATGTGTTGCGTTTTTATTAGGACATGGACGTATCCAGACTCCGCAAGTAATGCTAAAAAGATATATAAAAGCAGATCAAAGACAAATTTGAAAAGAAGTTGAAATGCCATTTTCCTATTTATGGATCAACGAAGCGTCAAGAAACAAACTGAGCATAAGCTAGCAGCTGCTCAAATAAGAGAAGAAAGGGTCCAAAGCTGTCTGCTTTAACGAAGAAGATAGATCTCAAGGAAAAGCTAGATCATAGAAGTACACAATCACAAAGATGCTAATAAATGAAGCACGTAGCAGTTTTAAGATCTGGGCTTTTCCTTCTTCTCCTTGAAAAGAGCTAGGAGGGACACACCAGAAACCTTCACAACCTTGAACCTAACTCCAGGAATATCTCCTACTGCATGCCCCTTACGACCAAATCCAGCAATCAACACCTCATCCTGCACAAAATGATAATGCAAATCAGTATTTATGAGCTCTTTAGAACACCAAGAACAAATGATGCAGCAGGATTATAATGTATTTAAATTTGTATGTAATTTCCAATTTAAAATTTAGTTTCAGGTTTTATTAGATTTTATGAAATAAGACAGGCTCTTTTAGATGAAAAGAAATTTGGCCAAGGGCTGAGATGATTGAATGATTAATAAATTTTGCAATTCATCAAAAATTTATGTTGGTCTCCAGCAGTTTCCCTTTGCAATTCTCTCTTCTTTTCTTCGTTTCCTCCTCGAATACATGTTTTTTACCCTCTGACTTATCAAGTAGAGAGGTATTAGATCCACTGATCAATTGAGCCTTCAGCAATTTACTACTACTCAATCGTTCAGTATAAGAGCTGCTCCACACTATCAAAACCTTCAAATTCCAACCAATGATCCCTCGCACATCCTAGATCCATCCATCCCTCAACCCACACCGTAACAATTGCACGCTCCATTCTGCTCCAGTAACAATTTCCCTCGTTCCCACGATTAATTATTCTGTGCGGACGTTGAACGTTATCCGAAAACCAACCAAAATGTATCACATCACACCTGTGCTCGGTACTACAGCTCGATACCACTGAACGTGACGCATTATAGTTGGTCTTCGGACGACCTTCTGCGTCCGGTCTCCGCACAGAATAATATTTCTGTTCCCACACCCACGTCTGTACTCATATTCGACCCCCAAAAGAGCCCATCCCCTCAATAATTTTTGGTCTTGCGCCGCAGTCTCATCCCTTCATTCACTCCTCCATCCCTAACCTCACCTTCACATCACATCACCAACTCCACTGCATTGCTTGCGACCTTTCTCACTGCAAAATTTGTACATTAGTATTGTTTTTTGGGTCTTTCTCCACTTTTTCTCTTCACTCCAAGATGAATTTTACCATGAGTTGGATTTCTCTCATCTTCAGGATAAATGTTGCACAACATCAAAATATAATTAGTGACCTATTTTTCTCAATCGCGAGGGAATTGATGCAGCAAGATTAAAATTTATGTATATTTATTTACAATTTTTGCTTAATTATATTTTTTAATGTTATTGAACGTATATATAATAAGCAAAAGGCTCCCTCTACATAAGTAGATCTTCAACCTAGAGCTTGGAATTGTTAAATGATGAATACAATGTGTTTCTTTCCAAAATCCTTTCAAACAAATCAACGGCTAAAAATATTAGGTGCCAACGGCTAAATGCTAATTAGGAGGAAATGCAAATAATATTCATCATTCAATAATCTGAAACCAGAGTACAAAAGTCTCCTCATATACATAGATATTCTTTTTCTTGTACACATAGATCTAATAAAAACTAGAAATAACAATCAAAGCTGGAAATTATATGTAAAAATAAGAAAATCCTAATCATGATACATCAATTCCCCCAAATTAAGACAACTCTCTAAGGGTCACCTAACATATTGCCATGTTGCAATATTTATCCATGAGAAGAGAAATGAATAGAAAATCCATCCCAAAGATAGAGACAAATGGAAAAGATGTCTCGGGTATTGAATCAACTAAAACTAACCAAACATCACACTACTTACTGCAGAAAAAAAATGGCACCATTATTAATCTAGAACGATGACATTATCCAAACTATTCTTCCATGATTTACTGTTGGTAAATTCAACACCTAATTCCACTTCCCCTTTAATAACTTCTCATCATAATAAAGCAACAATGCGCACGAGTTGAAAATAGCTTTGAGCAAAAGGATTGATGAGAACCATCTTCTGATTGATATAATCGAGATCACTTTAAGGACTATAAAGAAAATCTTCACTAGTTAATCCAAAATAGTCAATCATTCTAAACTTTGATCCGAATGATGACAAAATCAAATGGAAGTGACAATGGTGGAACCGTGGAATGCTTGAAGTCAAGATGATCAACAATCAGGCCAAGGGGGAAGGTGGATATATGGCATGAAATGCGGAGAATCGCAAATGTGGCTAGAAGAAGGAATCAAGAACAATTGAGTTCCATTCTCACTGTTTGAGAGATGGGTAAAATGCAGCCTCAACTTGAATGGTGGACAAAGCTGATGATTTCAAGGGTTGGCAACAGTGCAGGAAAGATGAAAGTGGATCGATGGAAACAGAGGAGATGGGCTCACCTAATTCCAATTCCTCTTTAATAACTTCTCATCATAATAATCAGAACAGATACAACATGGATATGAGCTAGAAGTTATAATTAAAGTTGGATATGACAAATAAATTTAAATAAATCTTAATCATTTGGCGTCAATCTCCTAAAATAAAAATAACTCTTGTAATGGAAACATGAGCTTACATTTTCCTCGATGTAGTTCAAACAACCATCATTTGGAACAAAGGCTGCAATCTTTTTCCCATTTTTGATCAATTGAACCCTGGCACATTTTCTGATAGCAGAGTTGGGCTGCTTTGCCTCAATGCCACTATTGTGGTGACCATACGCTTGCATGTCAGTGAAAATATTTTGCAAGTACCAAATTAAAAAATATATAGCACTTACATTTTTTCTAACACAATGCCCTTTGCATGAGAAGATCCAGCAAACGGCTTCTTCCATTCATTTCCAAGGTGACTTTTCTTATATGATTTGTCTGCCCACCTCTGGTTTCTTCTATGGGTCTTCAGTTTTCGTCCAGCTCCCATACCACGTGTTTTCCTGCAAAAAATAAAATTAAAAAAGAGGCAACATAAATGATAGGTTTGCTGGATCAATTTTTACTTGCCACTAAGAGGAAAAATATAAAATACTGGCAACCAAAAAAGTATTAAATGAGTTGAATATGCAGAGAATGTCAACTAGGAGCTATTATTCTGTGCGGACATCGGATGGTTCTCCAGTCCAGTTACGCTTAGGTACCGAGCACGGTATATTTTTTTTGGGTGATGTGGCGCATTTTTATTGATCTCCGGACACCATCCGGACTCCGCATAGAATAATAAATCGTCAACTAGGAACTTTTATTAAGTCCTCTGACCGGACGTAGCTCTACGTTCGGTCAGAGGATTGTTACTCGATTTTTGCTTGGTATTTGGTCGGTATTGCTAGGTATTGTTTGATAATAACGAGGAATACCGCTCTGTGAAGATCAATACCGAGTTATACCGAGTAATCCCAAAAAATACCAAGTTTTCATAGAAAAAACTCGGTACTTTTTGGGATTACTTGGTATTGCTCGGTATTTTGTCTTCACATAATGTTATTTCTCGTTATTGTTGGTATTGCTCGGTATTTGCTCGGTATTTCTCATTTTGTGCCTGCGATCTTAGTGCCGGCCGAACGTAGCTCTACGTACGTTCACCGGACCAAATAAAAGTTCGTCAACTAGAGGTTGAAGCATGAGCACAAAGATTAAAAAAAAATATCACAACAGTTTTAAATGCCAAAACAAAACACACACTATGCCCAAACATGAACATAAAGGCACATGTATAGAACAACAACATCAAACCTTTATCGCACTACTGGGGCCAACTATATTAATAATTTTCTCTATTTTTTCTTGTTAAGAGTCAAATTCTTATTTAAATCTAATAAAAAAACAATTTCTAAGATGCGTTCAAATATAATAACACACATTTATGCATGAATAAAATACAAAGAGTAAAACTATACTAGATCCACCACATAAAGCACATGCACATGAAAACACTTATTATATGCACCATGTATCCTGCCCAATATGATATTAAGACATGAAGAACCTTCGGACACATGAAGCAACAATATTTATGTAGCTTATGATTATGTTAAGCACTGATAGTCAATTGTGAATCAGCACAGGACCGTCAATAAGCATACAAAAAGAATTTCAACCAAAAATTTAGCAAGAAGACTAAAAAAAATAAGTAAATAACCCTTCAAAACCCCATTCTAGACAATTGAAAAGTGAAACACGTGCACATAAATAGAATTATAGCAACCTTAAATAATTATGAAAGAATACCAATATGTATTAATAATAACATATCTAATTACTGAAGTAATCACATCCATAAAGTAAGAATTAAAAATATTCCACATAATTTTGTATTTACTAGGGTTATCTAATAATTTACATTCAAACAACTCTCCATACTTCATTAAACAAACCATAAGTAACTAAAGGAGAAAACTCTATCAAGACTTTGTGAACCAGTGCAATGGCAGGCTTTACAATTAGACTGAACTTTATCATTTTTAAAAATCACAACTAAGTGCTTAAGAAAAGGAACTATAAAGACCGAAGTTGGCATAGAATGAAACAAATTGGTGAGATTAAAAACAAAAACCGGAAAGAATTACTAATGGCGAATAAGAACCATGGTAGAGAGTTATGGAGCATAGATTGTGTGTTTGCTTCCCCAAAAAAATTAACTCAAAACATATAATTAAAAGGTGTTCAGACCTAGGCATTTATAGACATAATACACACATTTAATAATTGCTTATTCTTCATTGTTTTCCTTATCACAGATACTGTTTCGGTGCAGACTAAAATCTATAATAACAACTACTTCAAAGTAGCATGGGTGTGATACCAGAATAAAGATGATGACAATATATTAATCTGTAAAATCCAAATCATGCAACACTTCAACCAGTGAAAGTACCAAAATCCTTGCATTAAACTTCTTCCACAAAAGCACTTACAGATTATATATAATCCATAGCAGGTGTGTTAAATGAAGACAACTAAGGCACTGTCCGGTTTGTAGATCATCTCAAATACAATAGTTATGACAAATCTTTAAGACTCGATAGTTGATTTAAGTTACAAATCGTCTTCTGAAAAACGATGAAGTTCATGACTCATAACTAGACACCAACGTTGATTTCAAAGTCCTCAAAACTTACTTCAAAAGTGAGGCTTTCATTTTCACACTCAAAATGAGTAAAGATCAAATCATTATTTTCTAAAATATGTTTTCTATTTATAAGCAAATAAATGAGTCAATGAAATTTAGCATATCCCTGTAGTTTGCGAGTGTGCACAACATCAAAACTAAACCAACCACTCTAAACACTGAAGCACTATGAAGAGGACTCTAATGTGTTGTGTTAATAATGCCAATTTTGCTTATGAGAAATTAGGCACTGCTATGTAAGTTTTTTAATCAGCAGGGCAACCATGCATAAGCACGTGAAAAGGAAAAGTAAGGAAGTACTCGTATGATTTCAAAACTTTATATAATGATATTCCTGGGTATTTCAAATGCAATATAGATCACGAACTAGGAAAAACATTTTCTCCAAGGAAGATAAAAACAAAAAAGACTCGTTACAAAAATTGGCATCGCCAGTTAATAGCAAAAAACATTCTCCCTTAAGGCAATAAAATATACTGATATCTAAAATTATTTTGCTGTTATTATCAATATTGGTATAGCGAATGACTTCTTTAATACTTCCAAACAATTGCATTATCATATCCCGTAGACTATAATCTAAAAAAGTTGAGCTCCACATCACAAACTAATTAAAATAGCATTTTGAACTCCTTGCAGGCAAGTAGATGCAACAACCCTACTGAAAGAGAGAACAGTTGAAAAGCAAGAACTTGCTTCCCATACAAAGAAATAAATTTAAGCTCGAATGCCAGAAAATCTGCAATACAAACCCTTAAACCCAAGCCCCCATAACAAAACTAACGTAGGAAAAGAGAGACGGCCAAAGTGCGCATAAGTAGGTATGAAATACTAAAATGTAATCACACAAAACGACAATAAACCATTGATTACGATGCATAGAAGTTTAAGGATTTCTCCAAAACAATATCTTGGCTCCCATTTCATTCAAAAGGCATGCATAGAATCGGATCCAAATCTAAGTTTTTGTTTGGAGAAAAAAGACGAGTTCTTTTCTCTTTTCTGAGATAAAATCAGATACTGAATACGAAGTCCAATAACCAATTCATTCACTGTACTCCGTTACACGACTGCGCAAAAGAGCGTGAGAGAATATACATCAGAGGAGAGAACAGAAAATTCTTACCCCATGTTGAAGGAATGAAGAAAGGGCCTGTCCGATCAAATTTGGGCTAGTTCTGTCAGCCGCAGAGAGCGAAGAGAAATAGCTCAAGAACTTGGAACCGCAGAAGGGTCGGATTTTAGGAATATATAGTCCGCCGAAGGTCGTCTAGGGCAAGCACCGAGGAATCGATTAGGGGGAAACGGTTGCAAAAAACGTTTCCCCGCTACGTTTCCTTGGATATTTCTTCGCGTCCATCTTGGATAATTCAAGGCCCATGAGCCTAATCACCTAATTAGGCCACAACTGGTGGGCCTGTATAACGCAATGGCGTGGATTAAGCGATTGGGCTATTTTTGACGTCCACGATGAGAGCATTAGCTCAATTATACTAACAAAAATTGAAGGGGGCGGCTACACGTGGAGTTAGCAAAAAAGAGCTATAAAATAAAATATAATTGCATTTTGCTAATCTAATAAGAATCATCACAATCATAACAAATTTACATTGCATAAAAAATACAAATAAAATGTACTGTAGGTGGGTAAAAGCTTATTAAAAGGAGTATGGTAATCAATTTTATCATATTAAAGATTAGTCCATCCACCACATATAACACTTCTCAATGGCATAGCTCATCAAAGATCATCGAGGAAGGACAGCAAGTAATGATCTGACTCAAGTCTAAGTAGTGTATCAGAGTGTGCCTGATGTGGTAAGAGGCATACTGTATGGTATTTTTTGATGAATAGATAGTATTTTAGATGTGGACAGCAAGGACCCTTGATGGCTGAGTGTCTGCTATAATGACAGTGAACAGGATCTAGATTTAAAAGAGAGCAAACCAAGCAAGGCTATAGACATATGACTATTGGAGCTAGAGAAAACAACGTAGGATCTGCGAGCAGGATATATGGATGAGGAGTTATTGAATATTAAAGAGAACATGCATAGTCTACTATACCAACAATAGCACCAGCTAGTAGAATGATAGGGATGCACCTGTAGGATGCACTGGTATAATGTTTAATCAACTGAATTGAATTTTAATTGATTAGCATTGCATTGCATGTTGAATGATTTATAGGAATAGTATGTGATTGAGTGGTAAGTGACGAAAAGATTTAAGTTGATTTATTATTTTTTAATCATACAGTTTTGTTTCGGAAAAATTATAAAATTGAATTTGTTTTGAATCAAATTAATCTTGTTTTCATTGATTTGTTTTATCTATATTTGTTCTTGGAAATATCAAGGGTGGCATTCTTCTAAGGCAGACAAGTTATAACAACTCGAAATATGAAAAAAAAAAAAGAATTTTAAAATGAAAATTTGAATTTTTATTTGAATTGGAGCACGAGGGTGACGAGCTTATGATATGAGCATTGAGACGCTGGCCTTTGAGCACAGCAACGCCAGAAACCACCACCATAATATTGAAGCCTCTATTTTATAGTAAATTTATATTCAACATACGCAATAGGTCGGAGTGCTGTGGTGTTGGGTTGGAGCACTTTGGTACTAGGTCAGAGCGTTATGGCGCTATGCTACTAATAGTATTTAAATTTTTTTAATAAAATCCTAAGTTCTGAAAGCCTGCAGCGCCGCCACCTCCTTCATTTCTGGTGGTTACCTTAGAAGAAGAGAGGAAAATATAGAGGAAGAGGAGAGAGAGGAAAGAGAGAGAAAGTAGGTTTTGGTCTTTTTTTGTCATTTATATTATAAAAAGTATTATGATCATTATAAGAAACCTGAATCTCAATTTAGTTCTTAATAATTTTGAGTTTGATGAATTTAATCTCTTCTAAATCAATAAAAATATATATTCTCATGATTTATTGTACTTTTATCATATAACTTTTTGTATATAAAAGATACAAACTTTATAAACATTTTGACTATAATATTATTAAATTTTCTTGGGTAAAATGAAAGTTATGATTTTCTAATGCTATCAATTATTATATAGATTTTCCTAAAATTATAGATTTTAACATTTCATATATGAAAGTGAGATTGATATAATTGATATGAAATAAATTTAGTATTTACATGTGTTGCGTCCAGGAGTATTCGCAGCAATAGAGAAATATAAAATTTAACGTCTTAACTTTATACGAAAATTCAGCACGCAATCAGATAAGAGAGAGGGTGTAGCATTTATGAGAGACCAATATTTTTACATGGCAAACCCCTGAAAAGGGGGAAAAACCATGGGGCATAGCTCAGTTTGAATGACTCCACTATTATTCACAGTCGATTACAAATGAGACCCTTCCTTGGGGGAAGGTCTTAGCTTGATGTGCATCTTATAGAGTATATTACATAATGTGAATACAAAGAATCATTGTTGATGTATTTTTTTGGTCGGACGGACTGTAGTCGATGGGTGACATAAGTTAGAAGGATCGTAGTCGGCAGACGACGGAGGCCGGAAGGACCGTAGTCGGTGGGCGACGTAAGTCGGAAGGACCGTAGTCGGCGGGAGACGGAGGTCGGAAGGACTGTAGTCGGTAGACGACGTAAGTCAGAAGGATCGTAGTCGGCGGGCGACCTAAGTCGAAAGGACCGTAGTCGACGGGCAATGGAGGTCGAAAGGACTGTAGTCGGTGGACGACGTAAGTCAAAAGGATCGTAGTTGGCGGGCGACAGAGGTTGGAAGGATTGTAGTTGATGGGCTACGTAAGTTAGAATGACCATAGTCAGCGGGTGATGGAGGTCGGATGGACCGTTGTCTGACAATAGAGGTCAGAAGGATGGATTTAGGTAGAAGTACAACAATGGATAGAAATCTAGCACCGAATATATGTCCGGCGAAAGTCCAACAACTGGCATAAGTCCGGTGTCGGGTAGAAATCTGGTGACGAGCTGAGGTCTGACATCAAGTAGAAGTCCGACGTCAGTTGGCGGCCGAGGAGAACTCCGGTGTTAGATGATATTAGGACAAAACTCCAGAGTCACTTGGAGATCGGGTGGAGTTCCGGCGTCCCGTGAAAGCCGGGCAGAATTTTTACGTCACTTAGGCGTCGGGCAGAATTCTGACAGTGGTTGAGGAGTTTCTTACCTCCTATCCTTCTCTTCTTCTTATCTTCTTCTTGCTTGGGCCCCCTCTCAAGAGAAATGAGGAGTCTATTTATAAATTTTTGTAGTGTCATGTCTTGTAAATAGGTGAGAGATCAGGGACAAAGGTGGAGTGATTCGGATGGGTGGCCGATATTGAATCCCTTGATCGTGTACATTTTGTCAGACATTTGAATATCTGAATGATGTTAGAATTTGACGATCTTGGACTCGTTGGATTCTTCTCGTCGAGTCGCTCGATTCGACTATAAGCATGTCATATTTGAAAACTGTTTGGTAACTCAAATTGTGATTTAAACTTTTCAATAGCGCTTCAGTGCTTGATTTGGACTCATTTGGGCTCGAATTGAGTCGAATTTGGTGTCATTGAGTTTGAATTTCTGAGACGCTCAATTTGACTATAAGTTCGATGGAATTAGAATTCAGGTGATCGATCCCGGATTTAATTTTTGAAGTTTCCGGCTTGATTTTGCCACGAGATACGTGTCGGATCAAGATAATTTTTTGAGGATATATCAACATGTAAGTAAAGAAGGTTGATTGTTAATTATATAATTAATATTGACTAGTTCTTAGAACATAATATCCTACGCAAGAGGGTGCGCCAACAATCTTTCCTTTAAAGATAGTTTGTTGAATTATCCTAGTTGTAGCCTGTAACTTATTGCCCAATTATGCTAATGGGTAGAAGGTGGTGACTTTTAATGTTTTATTAAAAGTCACATATAATAGTAGTAGTTGTCATAATAATAATAATAATAATAATAATAATAATAATATAATGATGCAATGAATATGGAGGAATGAATGAAAATATCATATTAAAGCTGGATATCCTGTCTTGTTGGGTTTTATACATACTAAATCATATAATAATGTAATTCATATATTGATAACATTAATAGTATTGATTGCATTGAAAGATAGAGAGATGTGTGTGCATTATATGTAGTGATTTCATGTATATATTTTATAATAATAAATAATTGATAAGATAAATAAGACCGACAACCTTGATGATATCAACACATGTATGTTCATGCTAAAGTACTAATTTATTAATCATTGATTTATTGATTATAGATGTATTTATATTTTAGCACCTATTATTAATTTATGGATTTAGGCATGTTCAGGGGCGGATCCAGCTTCTTTTCCCCCCCTCAAGTGAATGGGGATCCGCCCATGGGCATGTTGACTTTTGCTTTTTATTGTTGATCATATTGAATCATATGAGTGATGATTGAATATTTAAAACTAGTAATTCTATTGATTGAGATGACAATGTATATTGATTTCTTAGATCTTATATTGAAATTAAAGCTTTAGCAATTTTTAGGTTTCTGCTGGGCTTTGTAAGCTCATTATGTGATTTTACTAATTTCATATCAGGGAAGGGGTTACGACTGTTTGTTGTGAGACTGGTTGAGATCCTCATGTCTTTTTTTTTATTTTCTTTATGTATTTTCTTTTATTCTTTTATAGTCATGAGCTATTGATAGATTAATGATTGTCAGTGATCTCCTTATTATTATTAATGTGATTTTGGTGAATGAATATTGTGAAATATTTTGTAGTATATGATATTTAATTACTCTGGATGGATATTAAGTAATATAGATGATTTATATAAGCTATGATAAAAGTTTAAAAAGATAAAATAAATAATTCTTCTAATTTAGATCTTGGGGTGCGACCACCAACCCCCCCCCCCCCGGAAAAAAATACCCCCCCCCCCCCCCCCCCCCGAGGGAAAAAAATAAATCATTATCCTTCGCCTTCTCTAAAGACATGCCTTCTTCCACGAAAAATTTTATTGAGAAACTAGGGTTTAAAGATTAAGAAAAGATTTCTGCTTGAAATTTATGTTGCACTTATTATATATATTAAAGATAATAATCCCAATCATTCAGAAACTCATACTTATATTGTAATTTCTAATATCCTTTTTAAGTTAACTAATCTAACCACATATTAACTTATCTAACCCACCGTATTAAAAGATGAACCCTACTTAGCATAAAAATTATAATGTTAAGTAAGGGATGGTCTTAAGAAGGATTTCTTATAAGAGAGCTTTAATTTAGATGT